GGCAGACACACTGGCTGTAAAAGCCAAGCTTGATTACTAGTCACCATCTCGTAAATGGAAAAACAAGGAAACCCCTACATGAAGAGGATTTGAGTAATTAATAGGGGATTTTATTGAGCCTTGTTGATTCTGATCGGAATCAAATGTCAGTCACCTCACTGGCAGCAGTTTTACAGTTTTATTTAAGAACTATTTACTTCCATAGAAATCGAAGTATATTGATTCTGGGGCGATTCTGTCTCAAAGTTGAGTCAGTGTGAGTGCTGACATTTGAGATTTTGAGCAGTGCATTCATTCAGGGTGAATTAGTTATGCAAACTTTTCTGAAGACTACCTTTTTCTTCCCTCTCAGTCACTCTCCAGATTTACTGGATGGAAGCCTCAGCAGCGTGGGCTCCTCCACCGACTCGCCAGGCAAAATGGAGGGAGTGTCTCCTTCCTCGTCCAGCAACTCACCCTTTGCTTCTCTCCAGGATTTGTCTCCCAAATGAGCATGGGATATCTAAGACTATGGGGGGGAGAGTGGAAAAGACTTCTCTCCAGGGAACTGGTTTCCTTTTCAGACCCTTCACATCGCCAACTACATTTCCTTCAAGTGGAGTTTTCCCCCACACTTTCTTCTGACTGGCTGTTTTTATGGCTATCTTTTATGGAGGGTCTCGATTTTAAGGAGACTACAGCCATGGATGTATTTGTGTAAGAGGTAATCCTAGTAAAACTAGGACTGAGGGAAGTCGCTGCGCGCACCAGCTGCTAATTGATCTTGGATGGTGCCAGCCTTCGTAGGGATACTAATAAGTGGCTGTTGTATAAATCTGTCCTGCCAGTTCCCCTCACCAGAGAGAGAGACATTGAGCACTGGACATATAAAGACTACTTGGATGTGTGCATTTCCCTGTTTTTGTGCTGGAAAATGTCTGGCCCACTGGCCTTGGTGTGTGCACAGTCTGCAGATTTTGTAAGAAAAGATTTAACTTATTGTTTTCCTGCTGCCTGAGCAGATATTCTAAATATTTTTATGGTATAGGCTGTGAACTGTGGTGTTTGCATTTTTTTTTTTTTTTTCTTCCCTCCCCTTCAGCTCCAAAAAAATGATTTGCTGCTACTTTAATTGGTAATTCTGAGCAAGTGGTAAATCATGATCATTCCTGGTAGTCTCAACACTAAAAGTTCCTGTGTTCTTACCAGGATGATTTTTGTGGATAAAAGTATGAAAATCTGACTTCTTTTTTTCCCCTTGTTCCTTCTGGCAAAGTGTTCTTATTTATGGACAACACATTTGTTATAAAATTGGATTCGTTCTATCTGCAGTAAGCCATCTGTGCTGTCATTTACACCAAATCAAGTGACTGCTGGAACACGAGGCAAAAAAACAGCACCATCACATTGTGAGTAAAGAGACTGCTCTTTCTGCTGTGGTTACACTTTTTTCTTTTTTTTTCTCCAACACATATTGCACAGGATGCTTGGTCCTGTAGTGTTTCAGCCTGTGTGAGTCTTAAGCAGGAAACAACTAAATTTGAAGAAGAAAAAAGTCTGACTACAATATGTAGAGGTTAAAGCCTGCACTGTGATATTTGCACCTAAATTTGGTTTCATTTGTCCTGACCCCAGTGTTCATATCCATCCGTATAACTCGATACTTCCGAACCCCTCTGTGGCTCTGTAACCTTAAATGTTTATGTACCGGTACAAAAAGGAAGTGATTGTAAATCATTTTATGGAAGTGTGCCCTTTTAATTTAAACAAGTGTGGTTGCAGTTCACTTACTGAATGGGTTTGTTTTTTTTTTTTTTAAATACAAATAGGAAAATGTTGGGGGTTTCTGCTTTGTTTTTGTTCCCTTCACGATGCGTTTTTTTTTTTTTTTTTTTTTTTTTTTTCTTTTTTTCTCTTCTGCTCATTTTATGAAGTGTTCAGGGCATGAACTTAGCAAATGATATGCTATACTGTATGTCTGTAATAGAGGCTGTAATCTGCTCGTCTTTTGTGACTGCTATTGTAGCGGACATCAGGAGTAAATAAATTATTTCATTATGCTTTTGTATCAGTGTTTTCTTCTGTATTAGCGCTCGTATATGGAAGACCAAAACTACCAAAATAAAAATAAATTCCCGAAATATTAGTCCAACGGAAATTGGAGTTTGTGGGGTTTTTCTCAGTTTATGACTGCCAAAAATCCAGAAAAAAATAAGGAATGAATTAAAGAAATATCCAATCAAATGCACTGGATATATTTAAAAATCCATATAAAAATAATGCATGGGGAAAATGGGAAACGATAAATATAGGAAAACAAACATTATATGGAAATGGAGAAGTTTAATCTGAATAGCAAGTTTCACATTTCATCAATTATGGTACCAGTATTTTTATAGGACATTTCGTGCATTTATTTTTACTACTTTTTTTTTTTGGAGTCAATTATTGATTTTTCTCAGTTTTAGTACTTCATAAACCAAAACATACAAATTAAATGCAGATGCATCAAGGAGCACAACAGTGTTACCAGTTCTAGAAGTAAACAATATTGCTAAAAGTATTCACTCGTCTACCTTCACATATGAACTTGAGTGACATCTGATTCTTAATCCATAGGATTTAATGATATAGTGATAACAGCTTCAACTCTTTAGGACTGAGTTTATGGAAATGTTTTACCATTCTCCCAGAAGCACATTTAAAAATAAACTATTTATATAGCACTTTTCAAAACAGTTCAAAGTGCTTCGCGTTTTTGAGGACACTGATGTTGGACGAGGAGGCTGTGTGCCTCAGCATCCACTGACACCACTCTGTGATTCTACTGTTGCTGTTGTTCCCAGTTGCTTCCACTTATACCACTAACAGTTGACTGTGGAACAGTCATGGAAATGTCCATGGAAGTGATTGGAACCCTGAATTCACTCACAATTCAGTGATTTGGATGGGTGAGTGAATACTTTTGGGAATGTAGTGCAAGTCTCACTGCTGCTATACTTAGGATCATTTTCCTGGTGCATGACCCACTTTCAGCCAAGCTTTACCTGTCAGACAGATTGACTCTAGAATACTTTGGTATACAAAGGAGTTCATAGTTGTAACGATAGTTAGTTGGTAGTAAGGGGCCCAAAGTGTGCCAAAAACATTGCCCAACTGTTTTTAGCCAACCTATAATTATGTAGCCTAATAGTTGCAGGGACATTTATCAAAATTGAGCTCAAAATGCCTCAACAGTGACATCTGCAGGCTAGAGGGGGCAGAGCCTGCGTGAGTGTGGGCAGAGAAAAGGACAGCAGGAGCCTGACCTCTGCAGGATGGGATCTCTCATTTTATTTTAATGCACTTCAGTTTTTTTCATGCTGATGCTTGTTGTACCACATGGTAACAATGTGCACAACCTAAAGTCAATATCTGCAGTTGTGATAATAGTATCATTATTAATATATTGTTATTATTATATGTAAATGTTTGTTTATTAGAATAAGATCGAACTCTCTGAAAATTATTAACTAAGAAAAGATGGCAACAGGTAATTTCCTAGTAATTAATCTATTTATTATTTGAGGCATTATGATTGTGCTGTGTTGTTTACAGGATACATGCTGGGATTCCCCTCCAGGCTTTTTAAAGGGAAGCATAAATGCTGAGATGAAATCTGTTTTGTTTCTCTTCGAAGGTTTTGGGAGTTCAAACTGCAAAATTTTGATGAATAAGAAGCTGAAACAAAATATCCAAGGTCCATCCATATCCTGTAGTAATTTGCAGATATTCTTTCAAATTATGTTTATTACGTTATGTTTCAAGCCCAGATATACTTGAAGTTTCAGTGAGTCAGTTTTGAGAAGGAGTTTGTACCAGTTAAACTATGTTTCAGTATCTCAGTTTTGTTTGAATGGCTTGAAGTAAAAATTATAAAACACAGGGCTCCACGCTGCTGGCTCTGCAGGAAGTGGTGAGAGTTCTCAGAGTCCTTCTGATCACTGCATCTCAGATTTTGAATAAACTTTCCACTGATGTTAGAAAGGCCACTTTGAATTGAATCCTTGCCACTCACACAGCAACATAAAGCCAGGCCATTGTGTAACGCTCCATCAGAGATCACATAGTCCAGGCCATCCTGACAGGAATCAGAGAGATGTACACACACAGCAAACTTTGCACAGGTGCTGCTCATTAAAACTGTCGATGTAACAGTGAAAGTTTGCATGCTCCCTAATTACACCTGAAACTTTTGCTTTGGTGGATCAAGTTTGAGTCACTGAACTTTGTTTTCAAGACAGTCCCTCAATAATCAGTCAATCATAGTTCATTTTTGTTCTTTTCGTTTTTGTCGGGACACTTTAGATAGTGGTGTCCAAGCTGAAATATTCACAGACGCTTTGGGTGGCTTAAAATATTCTTCCTTAAATGTGATTAAAAACACAAGTTGAAATAAGTATTTGTGCTGTTAACATGTGTCCACGTGGGGATGATGACTGTGGAGAAATGACTGTACTAGAAAAAAACGTAGGTTACTGGATGCACCAACTTTATAATAGTCCTTTACACCGTTCTCACTCCTGGTTGTATTTAACTGTGTTTTGTTAATATTTATGTAATTTCATAGTACTTTACTTTTATTAATATCTTAATACTTAATAGAACAATGTGTGCATAATGTCTTGCGTGCCATCAGACAACCCTGTGCATGCGTATCCTCCATCTTCGCTGCTGGAAAATGCTTCCACAGATTTCAGTTCAGCATTCTCTTGAGTGTCACGTCCCTCTCTGTATAATTTCTTCAGTGTTATTTCTCTGCCTTATTTACAGCTTTAGAGGCAACTGGTTCCCAAGCAGCTGCACATCATGTTGCTTTGAGATGACACCCCTTCCCCGAGGGAGACCGCTGGATTATTTTCAGGCACCATCATTGCAAAGCTAACAGGAGCTTTATTGTCCTGTTCTGTGCCGTGTGCTTTCCTGACACAACATGTAATGTGTAAAAAATAAAACAGAATCTATCTTTGAACATGACACACTACAGCTGTATTGAGACTTTATTAAACATTTGTAAAGCATGGCAAGCGAACCATTCTTCTTTCAAGAGGAGATCCCTCCTTTGGTGACAGGTAGAAGTATCTTACTGCTAACAAACTTAAAGCCCACTCATACAAAGTATCCACACATGCAAGGAACGGCATTTAGTCTTCAGTCTACTCTAAAAAGCTTTAAAAAAACATCAATTTAATAATGGTAACAGGTAACAAAACTTTAATGGCTTTATATACAAGTACCGCGTTTGCATGTTGATTCCTTCACACTGAAATGACCACTTTCTTTCACATAATGGCAACAGAGTTACAGACAATATGTGAGGCCAAACAACAGCAAATGGCCTCACGCTTCTTCACAGGCCCTTTATCTCAGGGACAGCTCCCCTCACTCTGACCTTACACACGACAGCTCTTCCCATTTACGTCACTTTAGTTCCGTGTATGTATTAACACAAATGTGTAGATTTGAAAACAAGTATGCTAAAATGTATTTTTCAGAGGATGAGGTAATCGAATAAGTACCCCTGTTCCCCTGCTGTCAGCTCTACTTTTTTTTTACTCGTAGTAGTGCCTCTGGTGGGAGAACATTCTCTTCATGTTTCTGTTTCTTTTCTTCCCTCCTTTCGGCTCACGGCACTTCATGTGCGTAGAATGACCATTGTAAGAAGCCCTAAAATATGACAAGAAATAACACCGGGTATTATAAATTTCATCACACGCTTTGTCAAAACAAACAGCCTGGTTCTCACTTCAGAATGGAACATGCAACTTCCTTCTGTTTTTACTCACCGAGAACATAAGCAGCTACAAGTTTCTTGTTAACACTTAAGTGGAGGTAGACAGGCACAGTAGATTCTTGCTCCCCAAGTGTCGGGAGCATCAGGGCGGCCATACACACCAGCCCAAGCAGTACTGTCAACAGACTGGGTCCTCCAGCAACAGGACGGCTCTCTGCAAGTGTCACATACACACAAATAAACACACTTAGATTGAGTGCAATCACTTGTGTAACTCAGAAAAAGCCTGGTAATTTACCAAACTAACTTAAACTGCTTCCATTTAAGTCTGAAGGGGGACCCAATAGCAATATACAGCAGATTATGTGGCACTAAATTAATGTGGGTATAATTAAGAATATTATTTAAAACAAAGCAACACAGGGTTGGAAGAACAATAATAAAATTAGAATAAGCGATATCGTTTGAAATGCTCACCAATTGAATTTTGTGATAATTTGGCTCCATCTAGAGGCAGTTTCACACAGCAGCGATTTCCCCTCTTTTTCCTACCTGTCTGGAATGCAGTCTGTTCAAAAAACTCGCTGTCAGCAATTCGGCGTTCCTCATCTTGGGGCCGGGGGCTAGGCGGGTCCTGTGAGGCAGAGGGACGGAGAGTGGCCGTCACCTCTTTGCGGCCCAGAGCTTTCCGCTGACTCTGCTCTGACACCTGCAGCCGGAACTTGTCGTAGACCCCATAATGGCACGCGCGCACATCTCGGTGTCGGATTACTCTGCGTGGATGCAGAAAGTTAGCTGTACAGATAGCAATAAATTAATCAATCTGCTAGTTTAGGTTCACCAAAGCGTGAACTAACTCACATATCAACGCAACACTGAGGCTTGACGGCTCCAGTTGCATCCACCACGGTGTACTTGTTTGGCGCTGTGCACAGCACTGACAACGAAGAAAACAATACACGACGTAGCCATGTGATTGGAGATGAAAAATGAACATAACAATTATACGTAAACACAGAGATGTTGTTTCGATCTGCTCACTGACCTTTAAACTTGAGGGCGAACTCATAGGGATTGTAGAGCGTGAGCACCTGTTTGTGAGACGACTGATCATCGGCATAGAAGACGAGCTCATTGGGGAACACGAACACGGGAAGGCTTCCTCCCACCAGCTCTGGCGGTCGATGCTGCTGCTGCATTGGCTCCCGCTGAGCTCTACCCTCTGCCCAGGCCCCGCCAACTCTTCTCTAGCAACTCTCAAGCTTTGTGAGCTCCCTTCAGGTGAACAGCACTTCCCACTCTCAGCTCCTTAGGGCCATGACATGATACTGTGAAGAAACACAAGTGATGAAACGCAAAATACGCCAAGAGGCAACAGCCTGTCACTCTTTTACATTTTATGAAACTCTAATAGGTTAGTAATAGTGTAGTGGTAATACATTTCTTTCATTTTTTTCATATATCTCCTATAGCTTCTAGTTACCTTACACTTTACTGTGCCTGTTTGTTTACTTTAGTGACTCAAAGGCAAGTTTCTGCCCACCTCTTGGATGCTATTCTGTTTAGCTTCTCCCCCACCTCTGTGGGTTCACACCCTCTGTTTCCACACCCCCACTGCATAACAAAGAGTGAAGCCATCCCCCGCCAACAAATGTTAACCCACCCCCATAGCCTTAATTTTATTATGATATTCTAGTATATTTAAAAGTACATTTAAACACTTATAACTTAATTAGATTCTAGATTTACTCTGTTTTTAAATACTCTGTATTTAAAGCAAAAAATATTATTATATCACTTACGTGATTAAAAAAATGAAAATGTTAGACTCATCTAAATGTTTTAGTTTAGTCTGTTTTTTTTTTATTTAACAGTGTAATAAGATATTTACATTGATAAACCTTTTCTAAACCACCTAAACCCATGTCTTTAAAACTTGAGCACAGCAAGGTTTTGTTATATACTGATAATCCTACACGTGCTATATTTTAACGCTACGTGTATTTTTAAAGGCAAATACTTGAAACAAAACTCAGACCTTAATGATAAGCGAGAAAGCTAAGGCAATTTCATTGGTACAACTTTTTATTAAAGGCAAACAAAGTTAAAGTGAACTCCATGTGCCTGGTCACGTGGCCCTTTGTGTTTACATGGTAACGGAAGAACTCGAGGAGCGAGACCTGTGGTGTCGTAACACTTTTTATTTTCTACGTATAGTTTGCTCCACGTCAGAAAAACACAATAAAATCACTACATTTGAAGCACGATGCTACGAAGTCACTTTCAGTTATGAGATATGATATGTTATTAAGTTATCTAGATTTCTTTAGCATTTCGTTAGTGTATATAAACTCAAAACTGTCTTTAAAGCACAGGTAACAACGTAAACAAACACCAGAAATAGGTTTTTCGTTGAATATTTGACATAAATCTATAACAACTGTGATTTTAAATTAATACGGTGCCTATTATTAAGTAATACCGATGGTATAACATGTTCTTTATCTGCTCGTGTAATAACACATATTTTCACTGTAATGCTAACGGTGTTCAATACTGATGGCTAGCGTTAGCCGGCTAAGAAAACCCAGCTGATAGCAAATTGCCTCTTAAACGTTGTCTACACGCAGTGTCATTTCAGAAAGCAAAGCGCAGATTTATTTAATTTCAATAGCAAGTCAGAGTGAAACTTTACCTTGTTGTCAGCACACGGGTTCGTGAAACGTTGGAGCTGTAAACGAGATCTGTGCTTCTGCTCCCACCCTGTTGTTGTTGCTCCTCAAGCCTTTTTTTTCTTTGTGAATAATTGTACTGCAGACCTCGCGGTGCATGCTGGGATGGCAGAAGACGAGTACGTGAGAACGTAAATGTTCTCCCAGCACGCGGGCTAACGTGTTTATTACTATTTCACAACGTTTGGATCGGAGCACAGAAAACTTTATCCCCCAGGCATAATTTAATTATATTTGCAGAATGCTTTGACAACACAACTGCTGTGAAAAAAATGTGCTCAGATGTAAAGTATACTCACACTTTCCTAGTGCAATAAATTGTTTTCTTTAGCATATAACGTATAAATAGGCCAACTGAAAACAAGAAATAGCCTGTTTTAAACTTCCACCAGGCATGAGGTATTTTTCTAAACTGCTGGTATAAAGTTTTAAAACTTACTGTAATTTGATTTTTCCGTTATTTCTTAATATCATGGTAGCATCGAAGCACACTATCGTGACTTCAGTATTGTCGGAGTTACCACCATTACGGCCAAACGATACAAAAAACACGGTTCGGTAGCGAGAATTATTTTCCCGCTGTGGTATTTGCAAACTCAAGCATGCATGTGTAAGTTTCTTCCCCAGTTTTTGTTTTAGTTAACAAGGTCATGTAACTACATGCGTTGTTATTACGTTAGTCAGAAGGACGGAGCCTTTGAGACGCCTTGAACGCAGCAAAAGAATCACATCTGTGGGCGCGCGTATGAGGTTGTGATGGGGCGGGAGGGATACGGTGCAAGCGGCAAGAAATTTCAGGTCTAAGAATATAATTCTCACACTACAACAAACAGTTATGTGGCTTCAAACTAGCCTCAAGAGACCACAGATACGAGGGCATTATACCACGCTTTTGAATAACCACCCCCAACACCAGGAGACTGACAAACTGTACTCACGAGCCATTTCGACTTCATTATATCTGTGCTTGAGGGGGCGTGGTCATTTCCATCGGACTCAGCCAATGGCGTCGCACTGAAAGGAGCTGGGCGTTCCATTCGGTTAGGAGCAGAAGTTGAACAGCGCGAGCCGAGACAGAGCTCTAGAAAGGCAGATAGGGAGAGGGCAGAGGCAACGGCCCTCTACTGGAGGGGGGGGGGGCTTATTATAACAAATATATACACACATGTGTGAACTGTTGGGCTGCACGATAGGTCATATGTGGATAATAGTTATTTTAGAAAAGCATATAACCGCGGCTTTACATTTAAAATGCCTATTTTACTTTTCCTGTTAGACACGTCCGCCTCTATGAATCAGCGCACTTATTTGGGTACGACGTATCTGGACGTTGCTAAAGGCGCGGTTGAGGTCTTTATGAAGGTAAATAATGATTTTACCCCGACCTTTTTCAGCACGTATGCACCTTTGGTTAGCTTAGGGTTCCTTGGGGAAGATAGGTCAAAATTAATATATGTTGTTTTGGTTTTCTTTTTTGACAGCTGCGTGCCCGAGACCCGGCTAGTAGAGGCGACAGGTACATGCTAGTTACATTCGATGATCCACCATACGGAGTGAAGGTAATTAGCAACTGATGCCATTTTTACATTTTACAAGCCGTTCGTATTTTTCTGTCAGTGAGATTTTATTGTCCTTCTGGTTTGTAGTCAGTGTTGGGCGGCTTCCCGGTGGCAAAAAACGGCAAATTAGTGCTCCAAATACTGACAAACGCGGAGCTGCACTGCCTCCGAACATCCAGCAGACATTTTGCTTTTGTGTTGAGAAAAGTCTCGGGCGTTGAGATGGAGGCGTGGAGATTTATTATCAGCTATGACGTCGCTCTTTTTTTAATATAACAACGTGTAGACTGGTCAAAGAGCCCGCCGATCACTTTTTACCCCGCCCCTTGCATCAGTCACGCATCGCCATTGGCCAATCTGGGCTGAAAGTTGATAAGCCCTCTTCATCATGAGATCTCTTTTTTTGTATTTTTATGAGTTTGCTCATGTTCTCATTATTCATATTATAATTATTTGTCATCCCGATACGAGTGATCGTCATGTCCTTGCATAGGAGCAGTAGTCTTCATACATGCACAGACACACAGGAACAAATAAATACAGCGTGGGAATCACTGCGATAATTTCACGGGGTTAATATCAACAAAGGTTTCCTGACTATAATCTATTGACATGTTTTATGACCAGACACATATCTCCATCTGATCTTTTCATTCCCAATAAAATACAATCCACATGAACCCCTAAGGTCCCTGGTGTGCTTCAGTGGCTGCTCTCTACACTATATTAGGTCTCTCCAGGCTTCCATAACTCTGTCTACAAACCACACTCTACTACTCAACACAGCGTGCAGGGAGCTTACTCCGTCTTGTGCCATCACTGCCTGGAGAAAACAGAATAGTTTGCATGCCTCACTACCAAGAAGCAAAATGCTCAAAGCTGAAGAGTTAATAAATGTACAAAAGCATATGTTAGAAAGCATCGCTCAGCTCACAGTGTGATGACAAATTACTTCCACATTTCAGTTCTTTATAATCCTCTCAAAAGCTGAGTTACTGTTTACTCTGAACTGTTCAAACAGCAGCGGTGTTTTTAAAGACACTGAAACCAGAAGTGAGATTCTGAAATCATATCTCATGATAATTAAATGCAAACTATGTGACACAGTATTTTATGCTCCATCTTCATATGCCCAGTCATTTGGATAATATACTTAAAATCATTATTTATTATTCAAACTAATTCAAGGTTTCAAAAAAGCTTATTTTAAATTTAAAACATTCAACTCACTACTATTAATCTAGTTATACTTTTGACTACTGTGTAATTACTTTTTCGCCAGAATGCTAGTTTTTATACTTCTGTAACTTTATCGTCTTGTGAAATAGGTTGTAAAATGTAGTGAAGATGGGCAGCTCGGAATTTTTTGTTTTCCTGTTACAAAATGTCTGTTACAATTAGCAGCTGTTTGGTTTAACGCAGTAAACGTCTTTTCTATTGGCATATTTAGAGGTTTAAAAAAATAAAAAATTCATATACAAGCAATATGTGTTAAGTAACACAGCAACAGTTTGGATGGGATAATGGAAGCAAGTACAAAGTGCAAGTTTACACAATATCAGTTTATTTGTACTTATAAAATCATGCATTTTTAAAAATGGCATTTATTTGAGTAAAGCATACGGCTACAATTTCTCATTCATGCATATTAATGTGTCATGTATAAGCGATGCGATGTATGCCATTTGCTGTTACTGATGCTACACCCTACACATATTTCATGCATACTATATGCATGAAATATATAGAAGAAATTTTTTTTTTAATATGGTAAAGGATTTTTTGCATTTGCTGTTGCATCACTTAAGTTATGAACTACATAATTTTTCTGACAAACATGCTACAAACTTTACCCGAGTCATTTAGACAGCCGTTAGCACATGATTCTCCTTATGGCGACCTGATATGTTTAATATGCTGCTGAGAATATAGCCCAGAAGAAGCGTAGTATAGCTTTTATTTTGGAAAGATGAGTGATTTCTTGATCAGATATTTTTTATTATTTTGTTGTTTCAGCAACATTAAATTTAAAAACTGTACTTCTGAGTTAAAATATATATTTATATTTTAATAAATGACAAATTAAAAAGGCATCAACATTTTTTTGTATCGAAAAAAAAAAAATCAAACCGTGACACCAAAGTATCGAACACCGAACTGAACCGTGAATTTTGTGATTTTGTGTATCGTTTCACCCCTAATATATATATATATATATATATGTATGTGTATATATATATATGTATGTGTATATATATATATATATATATATATATATATGTATATGTGTATATATATATATATATGTATATGTGTATATATATATATATATGTATATGTGTATATATATATATATATGTGTGTGTGTGTGTGTGTGTGTGTTCGGATGACTGCTACAAAGATGAAGATGGGCTCTTTCTCTTCGTTGACCTTCATATTAAAATAAGGCAAAAAGACCATTTTTAGCTCACGTCTCTCTGTCCACCTCTGCAGCTCATATTGAGGCAAAAGCTCAGGCTTCAGACTCCAGGATGATGTGAATTTTATACTTTTGATAAAATTAAAAAGATACTACAATTTTTTAAAAACAATATAAAAGTTGTATGTCAATTTAAAGCTCTCACAATCAGTAATCAAAATTAACTGAACAATTAATAACCAAGTGTAATGGTAAAGGTGGCACTAACAGCGGCTCTGTATGATGTCAGTGAGCTCATATCTCCAATCCAGTCTTTATGTGATGACGTATGAAACCTGCTTCTTTCCAAACTACTCTGCGTTTATTAAGGCTGTTGTGTTTTTAACATGTTTTAATGATTTTTATCTTGTTCTATTTAAACTGAACAAGCCCGTGAAAAAAGGCAGTGATCACTGTCGGCCTCTCTCAGTTTTATTACCACTGTTTATTTTAAAGCTCAGTTTTTAAATCCTTACGATGTCACTACAGCCCAGCTCACACAGCAGTATATTAATGACTAACCTCATATTGTGGATGGATTATCTCAGTTGTTCTCCTGACTGAAGTTTGGTCTGTTTACAGCATCCTGCCATGCGACTGCATTTGTCTCCAACCATCAGGAACCCCCACATTAACTTTTATCGAGTGGAAAAAAGTTAGCGTTCATCCTCCAGCTTCACTGTGTTTATATTATGCTAACATAGCTGTGTAGCTAGACACCACGTAGCACATTATTATATACCAGCTAGTCCAACTTCAGTAACCCTACAAACGTCACTGCTGTTTAGTTTTCTCTCTTCATTTATGTTGGAAGTGATAGCAGAGCTGTACGTTTTAATTTGTTTCAGAAATCTCTCAGTCAGAACATGCTATACCATGTTTAGGTGGAAACTAGTGAGCTAACTTCCTGCTAACTTCTAAATCTGTTAAATTGAATAAATTCTGTTTTCATGGATGCCTGGATGTAGGGCTGCTCAATTAATCAAATTGTAATCACGATTACAATCTGGGCTTTCAGCGATCATTAAAAATGACTGAGCCGATTATTATCTCCTCCCTCGTACTTTACTCTCGCGCTGCTCCGTGTGGCAAATCCCCTGGCAAAAATGATAATCACGATTATTTTCACTGAAATTGAGATCTCGATTATTTGACGATATTTATTTAACAATAACAATGTATTGAATAATGACTTTAAAGATTGTCAAAAAATAATATAAAATAGTATGCAAATACTGATAACAGTGCAAATGTTCGCAATATAAAAAATAAATGAAAAATATAAACATCTATGTTTAGTGAACTTTGCAGTGTTGCTCTGTGGTGCAGCTACGACACTGTAGCAAAGTTTACACTCTATGTCTACTTGATCCACGTTTGACTCCGCGAACCAATAATGTTTTCACACCACTGAAGTTTTTTTACCTCTCTTTTCAACCAACAGCAGTCACTCTCCAAATAATTTTCGAGCTTCCCTCGGGTCCTCTTAATCAGCGGTCCCCAACCCCCGGGCCTCGGACCGGTACCGGTCCGTGAGTCGTTTGGTACCGGGCCGCGAGAGTTGAGGCTCAGGTGTGAAATGTATATTTTTCAGGGTTTTTATCGGTTTTCAGCGTTATTTTGTTATCGTTTTTATCGTTTACTTGGTTTTCCTTGGACTTTTCGTGTTATGAATAAATTTTCTTTTTTTCGGTACCGGTACTAGTTTTATTTTATTGTATTTATCCGCGACACCTTAAAGGCCGGTCCATGAAAATATTGTCGGGCATAAACCGGTCCGTGGCACAAAAAAGGTTTGGGACCGCTGCTCTTAATTGTTGTGACGCGTGTTCGAAATGCAGAGAGGTGCGCTCGATTTGCCACACGGAGCAGCGCGAGAGTAAAGTACGAGGGAGGGGCTAATAATCGGCTCAGTCATTTTTAATGATCGCTGAAAGCCCAGATCGTAATTGTGATTACAATTCGATTAATTGAGCAGCCCTATCTTAAACTGCTTATTTTAGAGCGTGAAAGAAATGAAAGCACCTGCCAAGGACCAGTATAAGTATTTTGAACTCTCTGTTAAAGCTGCATTGATGAATAATCCAAAATTAGCTGATCAATTAATAACCAGTTCTATAACAATATAGAATATAACAACCATATGGTTGTTATATTGCTATCTATAGGACTCAGATTATGCTACTTGTATTCACAGTATTCACCATTAGGGATGGGTATCGTTTAGGTTTTATCCGATACCGGTGCCAAACCGGTACTTTTGAAATGGTGCCGGTGCTTAAACAGTGCTCAAACCAGTGCTTAAAGAATGGAGAACACAAAATTGGTCAAAAAACCTCTCACGTTCAGCTGGTTTTTGTAAAAAGATAACAATGTTAGCCTTTTCTGCAGCTATGGGGCATATATGGTATCACTCTTGGCTGGAAGCAGTGCTTAAACAATGGAAAAAACACAAACTTTATCCAAAAACCTCTCATGTTTAACTGTTTTCCACTTTTTCTTTGGTCATTTTAGCCTTTTTGGCCAGGGTGAAGGGAGTATCTGCCATCAAACAAGAGGACAGCCGCATGTAGCTATGATGATGTTTGCTAGTTCACCTTACATGCATTAATGTAATAACGTGGTTAGCCTACTCAACGTAAATTACACACGAACAACATTAAGCTACTGACCCAGAGAAGAACGGCTGCTACTGCATCATCATCCGTCATCATTTCTGCTACACTGGCAGGGCTAGGGGCCAGGACTCTCCTCTTCGGGTTTTTGGGGGATGTTGCTAACTCCGGGTCCGATAACAGGCACCGCACCCGCAGTAGACGTGCTCGGTGTGAGGTCTCGCAGGCAAGCTATCAAATACGGCGCATTTCTGGGCTTTTAAAAAAAACGTTATGCGTTGCCACGTGTTTCATCGGATTTGAGGTGTTACCTCCTTTGACAGTATCACAGTATCAGCTTAAAGCACTTGTTGCAGGCTGCTGAGTTTGTATATTTTGCTGTGAAGTACAACCAGACTTTTGACCGCTTTGCCTTGGGCATTTTTAATCTGTAGCTCTGCTCTAACAGAACGTACGTACCTGGACCCGCCTACTATCCTCGGAAACGTAAAATGATTGGCTAGAATCTAAAGTGTATCACAGCTCAGGGAAAAAAAGCACCGAAATAAAGCACTGAAATGTGCGCTGCTTTTTGGTTTGGTTACGCACCGGATACCGGTACTCATCCCTATTCACCACCAGTTATAGATTAAAACAATCCAAAACATGATTCTCACCCCCCCACCACTCAGAAGCACCCAGGTGCTGAAGTGCTTTTTCCTCATTCTAAAGTCTACCCTCAGCTTCATCCTGCTCTTCCTCTCTTTGTCTTTGTTGCTGTCCCCTCTTTTATTGCTTTCTTTGTGTGCCGAGGATTACGATAAAGGACAAGGTTATAGTGAACAGAGCTAGTCTGATTGCACAGTTACAGAAGCAATAAATTGTTGATGCAGAGGGAGAGAGAGATGAGGTTGGGTGGGAAGAAAATAGAAATATTCTGTAGTCTGAATTATTGAGTGCACACTAAGCTTTACACTTCTGTCAGGGATGATCGGTGTCTGGGTTACTTTGCTGCTAACCCTCTTGAGTGTTTTTAGTGAGGTTTTCTTGTATAACTGCCCAATATTCATCTAATGTCATTCACATAACAGTGTGCTGTGTAGAAATTCCATCTAAATCGTGGCTTTGGAGTCATATCTCATGTTAATCCAAAAATCTACCCACTGGCTTGATTCGAAGCATTCGTGTTCACCCCAGCAATTCAAGCTTCTTTTTTTATTCTCTCTCTGTCTCTTCCCCTCCCTCTCCTAGCAAAGGAAGTGGTAAGCTTGCAGGTCATCCTTAGATTAAGCATGAATCTGCAGCGGTAAAGCACTTGACCCCGCTGGAGAAAAGTCCAAGTGCAGTTACACACTCACATCCTCTCTTAGCAGTATCTCTCTGTCACGGAGGACAGGCAGCGCTGGGAAGTGTATTTTTGGATGCTTGTCATGTATGAAATTAGACCTTTTCTGAAAGGCAACTTGCAGCTCAAACGTGGGTGTGAGTTTCAACAATGTTATCTTCTATTTCCAGAACTTCACATTACCTGATCAAATTTTATAGTTACAATTAAGCCACGGTGCAAAGAGTCAGTGAAACTGAAACTCCTCTTACCAAAGGGTCAGTTTGAGCTTTTCAGTGAACACAATTTGCTGTGTTTTTTTCTTTCTTATAATGACTTGATCTAACTATGTGTGGGTGTGAGTCTTTTTTGCAGAACAGTGACTTCAGACCTCCTTCGCTACTGCTTGTGCCTTTAACACATGTCTCTGCACTGCTTGTGTTTCAGGCCGGCTGGAAGGAGAACCATGCCACTTTCATGTGCGAGCTGAAGAATCTGCAGGCGTCCGGGCTCACAACATTAGGACACGCTCTTCGCACCGCCTTCGACCTGCTTAACCTCAACCGCCTCATCTCGGGAATCGACAACTACGGGCAGGTGTGAAAGGTTTCAGAGTTATTGAAACAGAACTTGTTTCATTGTTTGTTATGGATGTTAACACAACACTGCATAGTTATTTTTAAGCCCTTTTTCGAGCATCCATGTTCCCCACAGATTCATTCATAGGGAGAGCCACAGTACGCATGAGCAAAGTCGCACTTCACGTTGTATACATCAAGTCTAGTAAAGCAAAATCCCAATTTATGTTTACATGATCTGCAAAGGTGGCCCAGATTATTGTGTGTAGTGTGAGGTTTATTTTCCTTGTTCCTCTTTGTGTATAGTTTTCAGTTACTTGGCAGTCTGTTTGTGATAATATGGCAACAAAATGTGACAAGTCAGGAAAAATCCCAAATCTGTTAGTGCTACATACTCAGAAATTTACAATAACTACGCATTCATGTCATCAATCTTAAATAGAAATTCAGAAACAGTGGTGTAAGTGTTGCAGGATGGTGATTTATCTGCAGAGTAATACAGGTGTAGAGCAACTTTGCTTTTATATCCGAATATACCCTATAGCTGGCAACCATTTGAGGCAAGTCTCCTATTGTGAAGAGACTTGTCACAGTAGGGTTGCGTAGACAGACTCACACTGATTGCAATGCGTTGGCACTTTGTCTGCATTTCTAAATTAGACAGCAGTTATTTGTGAAGCTTTCACAGTGTGGCTGAGAGCGATTGCAGTCGGTCCCAATCAGATCCTGATGGTTTTGAGACAGGTACCCCACCAGGTGACTTATGCAATTTACTTGTGATAAAAAAGAAGTTGCTACAACTACTTGCAGTTTTTTCAAAAGCAAAAATGTTGAGTGCAATCATCAGGCAACCAACTGCTTTTTTCCTATTCACAAGGAGGTTGCTATCCTACTTTTACTTTCATGTGAATGAGCCATTAATCATGAGTCTGAAATTACCTCACTCAACAGTACTGAGTGTCTCACCACAGGAATCTTGTGTAGTGGGGCTGACTGATGCAGTTAAAGTTGCCCATTAGTGCATGACGTCTTGGAGTTTGGGATGAAATCTGACTGAGTGAAGCCATTTACTGTATATCACATTTCCACCATCCTGTGCTCCGACTCTACATCTGCACAGACATTCATCAAAAAAATCGTCTCTCTTTCTTCTCATCCTCTCTGTCACCTGCTCACATACTGGCTCCCACTGAATATCAGCCTATAAATGAAACCAGAAACACAGGACTGTGACCAGATCACACTGGAATCTGTTACTGTTTGCTAGGGGAGAAAAAATCAGGACAACATAGTCAGTAGTCTATGTCATAGTCATAATCAATATTTTGCGTGGCAATATTGTAACAATACTAGACACCAAATATTGATATTTTATTAAGTAAAATGTGATATTTTTGATATATAATAGATATCATACCATGGAATATCAATATTTGCCTAATAGGAGGCAACTTTTCTGCAAACAGTTGCAGGCGGAGGTGTGCTCTGGTGCAGGTGTGCCGCAGTGGTCAGTGGAAGGATACGGCAGTTTCTCTGTGAATTTCCCATTACGTGGTAGCGCACTCGGTGCTTGTTTAGGGGTTTTTTTCGGTGTAAAAAGAAGTTTTCTTCCCACGCACAACGGATGTTAATGTTTTTGTCACTTTTTATGGACTCAAACTTAAAATAAGGTCAGTACTTCCACGCTTTAAACGCTGCACGCTCATACTCTCTCCCGCACTCGATATATTATCCATTGTTAATCTGCGCACAGCTGTTGTCACGAACGTCGCACTCGCTTATGCCATTGTCATGAGACATTCTCGCAAAAAAAATCACGGTTTTAGTAACGCAGCGTTCCTACAGGAAAGTAACGGTAATTTAATTACCGTTTTGCAATAGTAATCCCTTACTTTACTCGTTACTTGAAAAAAGTAATCAGATTACAGTAACGCGTTACAAGTAATGCGTTACAAGTAACGCGTTACTGCCCATCTCTGGTCATTAGTCGGATTGAATCTTGGTAAATGAGCACAATTTGAGGGGACTCGACTCAACTGGCTGTATTCTGGTTATCTTCAAAAAGAACAGGAAAGTTTCAGAGTGCAAATTATATAAATGAATTTCTGTCTGTTTAGAAACGAACATATGTGGGATTTATGACACTTTATTACAGGTAATGGTTGTATTATCAGAAACATATTGGATGTATTCAACACCTTGACTCTGTCTTATGGCAGCATTTATGGCAGGTTTTAGTGACAGTGTCGGTGTGCTCGACAGTCTCATTTTACACCATGCCTCATATTATCATGTAGGAAATGTTTTAAACCTATTGATTTGATTTGATTTGATTTGATATACCTTTATTAGTCCCACAAGGGGAAATTTCATAATTTCATAAGGCTGCCGACCTATTGCACGCAATGGCGGCGCCATCTTACCCTCCGACCATACATACATGACACAAAACATCACATGGGGAAGACAGGTCAGAGGGGTATAACATGGAAAAGCACAACATGAGGAAAGATAAGGAGATAAAAAAATAACTCCCCCCAGACTGAGCTCCAACAGGGAGATCAGTTTGAGAACAGAAAAAAACACCTCTGCACATAGCACATGAAAAAAAACTCTTAATACACCAAAGAAACACATGACAAGCAACAGGGGTGGGTAAAGGGTGAGAGACAGCCGATTTAGACAGTACATCCGGGCCTGCGTGCGCTGGTCTCCTTGATCCACCGTCAGCATCGGAAGGGAATAAGCGTCGAAGGCGTTTGGAAAGGGAGGAGGGATGAGTGTGTGCATATCAGTATATGTATGTGTGTGTGTGTCCAGAGTTCAGCTGAGACAGTGTCCTTCGCCCTGCTAGGCTAAGTAAACAGTCTTCCAGCCAACCCAGGTGGCCTTGCATGGAATGGGAAGGAACAGTCTAAACTAGAGCTGGGCGATATAAGATTTTTTTCATATCACGATATGTTTTTTTCATTTCAGTCGATAACGATATCCATCACGATATAAGCCAAATAACTATATTTGTAAGATTTAAATGTGCCGTTGCTCACAAGTAAAATGTGAAATAATCAGCAGCTTGTTTTGATTTAAATATTTATTTCCCATAATAAGTTCAACAGGGTAGATGTACTCAAGGAACATGAGACTTTTTCAGATAAATAAAGGCAAATATTGCAAACTACACAAAAGGCAGCCGCTAAAGTGTTTAAGTTTCAAAATAGAACAAACGAAACAGACTAAATTGTCAATTCCACTTAGAAACAAAATATTAATTCTAAAAATAAATCTTAGTTTGTTTTACAGAAGATCAGACAAAATTGACTAACTTTTGTCAATATCAAATAAACTGAGAACTAAAAGGAAATTCTCAATCTCTCCTTGTTGTATAGCTTAGCTTTTCAAACAGTTTTAACAGTTACTTTAGTCTGACAAAAGCCGAATGATGAATTAGAGCTTCCAGTCAGAGATTGAGCATGCACCGCTTTATTGTATTTCCAGACTTGCTTTTGGCACAATTTAACGTGCGCGCTACTCTGTTTTTGTCAGACTTGAAATAGCCGAAATACCTTCACACTACGGAACTTCTCTGGCTCTTCCGTTCGACAATCTCTCCGGCATTGGAACCATCATCTGTTTTCTCTTCGGTAACCTTCGGTCACGCTCGGTTGATTTTTCTCTAGTCAGTCATTTCCTCCATTACCGCTGGCTGCTTCCCAAACAAATACACATGTGCGGCACGTAACAAGTCACGTGACGTGACGCTGCGGCTGTGATTGGTTCGGCTCTGCGCTACTTAATTTGGATTGGCTGTTGTTCTTTTTTTTGTTTAAAGAGGACAAGAGAGATGAGGCCTATCGCAATAGTTTAACTTTTCTATCGAGGGAAAGTTATTTCGCAATACATATCGTTATCGTTCTATTGCGCAGCTCTAGTCTAAACACAGTCGTTATCAGGGTGTTTTTTGTTCGGCTCCAGCCTTGCGACCGCAGCTGGCGCCGAGAGGGTATCCGCATGAAGTGATGGTGCTTTTTACTTTAGTGCGAACAACTCATATGAATTTCAAAGCTGTTCTAACAGTCCAACACTGGTCTCTCAATCTCCCGTTGGAGAGCCGTGAGCTTTCTATGATGTTATCCAAACTTAAGTTCCGCGATGTTGTCATTCTTTTTGCTCAAAGAGCAGGTTCTGAGAACTCACGACCGCAGTGCACTTCCCCAAGATGTGATCGAATTTGCGCTCAAAGGTGTTATTTGAGCTAGCCCCTCCAGATGTAATCCAGTTTTTCACTCAGAGGTCTTGTTCTGAGTATTCACGGCAGCCGTAAGCCTCTCCAAGATCTTCTCCGTGCTGTACTCAATGAGCCCATTTTGAGAAACTCACGCCTCGTCCCATCATTTCAATCCCAGCGGGCAGCCTTGTGGGGGTTTGAACAGCCGGTTCCGCTTCCTTAATTCTTCGATAAGCCAGGGCCAAGCCAGCTCCGATCAGCACGAACCCTGTTATCATGGTTCTGAATAGGTAGATATCTTCAGCAGTCAGGCTCACCCGAGCCCAGACTTCTCGTTCAGAAGGGGTGTCAATTGCATTCAGAGACCAGTTGATCAAATCCATAATTCTCTTTTAGGTTTTAGAGAACAGACTGTGAGAGAGTGTTCCAGGGAAAAGTAATACAAAAAACACAAGACTAGACAAGGACATAAGAGGCTAAGCAGGGAAGCTAAGGGAGAGGAGGAGGAGGAGAGGAGAAAAGTGCGACCGCCTTCGTCAAGAGCAAGAGCAGAGATGCACTCTCGAACCTGAATTGATTAAGCACCAGAGGCATGCACAGTCTTAATCTTGTGCATTCCTACTGTTTAATGCATCTGCATGCAGTTCACAGCTTTTGTGGAGTTGAAGGTGGAAAAATGGATTCACACATTCTGCCCTTGTGTGTTTGCTTTAAACTGTTAGTCAGTGATATAAATGCATTGTCTTAAAAAGAAATTATGGGACACAATAGTGCTTTTAACACACTGATGTAGTTTTGAATTGATTTTACCCTGTATGTTTTTTGATGTTTTAATTTAGGTTTGCTTGTTTAAGCTGCTCGTGTACTAATCAGGTGACCAAGGGCAGGTCTACCAGAATAATGTGAAAGGAGAAGTGGATTTTACTCATTTTAACTTTTAAAGAAAAGTACAAAAATGAATAGCGGAGTCTGATATGTGTTTATAACCGAGACATTTTATGGCTAAACCCAAATTAAGACTTAAGTTGGAGTAAATGTAACTGAAGTAATAAGAGGAAGACATCATGTACCTGGAGACAACATGGAGAATAGAGACTTTTGCCTAATCCACTCGACCTCACTTCAGTTAACCCAGTCATCTTCTCGTCAAGTACATCTTTTTTCTAAACCCCTGCTCTAAGGCACAGATGGATTACTACGCTCGGGCAGTGACCCGAGTTCTGTGCATCAGGAGCGTTTAAATCTACTTAAGCATTCTCTGTGTGTTTGAATTAGATGAGGCTGACCTCTGCAGCGCAGTACTAAAGGCCTCTGTCCTTATTAACAAGGAACACACGGACGCTTTGCACCTTACAGATTCACCCACACACAAAGAAAAAGATTACATGTAGTTTCTGTGGGATGGTAATTCCATAATGATTCCTGCATCTTAGTAGATGTCTGTTTAAACGGTTTACCAGCATTTTGCAATTAGGTGAAGCGTGCAACATGTAACGGTTGTGCTATTAGGTTCACATGTGTTACCAATTTTATGATCCTTTTCATCCACAGAGCCCTGAACAGTGAGTTGGAATGCAAAGAAAAAAAAGAAGTCAGAGTAGTGAAAATAAATGGCCTCAGTGTTTTTTTCCATTTAGTATTGAACTTGGAATTAATTGCTGAATGTTATCGTTTCCCTCTCAGGGCCGCAACCCATTCTTCCTTGAGCCATCTGTGATCATCACCATCACTGATGGGAACAAGCTCACGCACAGCTCGGGAGTGCCAGATGAGGTGAGAGCACAAACAAATGCAGTGGCACTACCATGTAGTATTTATACAGTGATTCCAGCTGGGCCTGTTGTACACACATGTCATACTTTGAGTCGCTGAAGCCATCTGAAGGTTAAGATCTGTAAAACGAGCGACCTTTTGCATTTCCACTTATTAACTTGCTCTCCTACTTCATTCTTGTCTGCTGTGTAGCTGCACCTGCCTCTGAATTCTCCCTTGGCTGGCAGCGAGCTGACCAAAGAGCCTTTTCGCTGGGACCAGCGTCTGTTTGCATTGGTACTGAGGCTGCCAGGAGCAGCTACACCAGATAATGAGCAACTTGGTAGTGTCCCCACGGATGAGTCTGCAATCACCCAGATGTGTGAAGTTACTGGAGGTTTGTCATGTTTTCCTATTTTCATTCATTCACTGTGTGTCTGCAGTCTTTGGGGTAGAGTCCACAATAAATTCTCTTATGCCTGATCGGCGTGTGTCTTGCTTTTTCCGCTCAGGGCGATCATATTGCGTGCGAACACAGAGGATGTTGAACCAGTGTCTGGAGTCTCTGGTCCAAAAGGTTCAAAGCGGTGTTGTCATTAATTTTGAAAAAAACGGGCCAGATCCGCCTCCAATTGGGGAAGGTGAGTGATCAGAACGCAGCGACCATTAAAAGTTCAAATCCCAGGATGAAGTTTTTCACCTGTTTAAACTTTAAACACAGTAAATGAAATTAAAGGAGAACTGAGTGCATTTTCTAGTTTGGCCAAGTACTTAATGATTAGTTATTTGGATAAATAAACCTTTGATTTGATATGTTTAAGTTGCATTTTATTTAAAATTATCGCTTCATGTTTAAGAGGGCAAAGAATCATTTTTTGAGTGAAAGAGAAACTAGAGATTCCTTGTTGAATGTAGTTTGGATGAATGTGATCAACTAAAATCAAATTCTGTTCTTTCCCATTCGCATATTTTGCTATTTTTTCCCCCGTTCGTGCAAACGTATTCTTATTTGCCTCTTAGCTCATATCAGTCAACGTGGCGTGATCCTGCCAAGTAGAACAGTTAGTATCAGCCCGCTTATTGTTTTCTTTTTTTTTTGTTTTCCAGATAATTCTGTGGACTCAAATCGGCCTGTGTCATCCTTCGGCCCACAGCCATGGCACAGCTGCCACAAACTCATCTATGTGCGACCAAACCCAAAGACTGGGGTGCCAGTCGGGCATTGGCCCATACCAGAGTCCTTCTGGCCGGACCAGAACTCTCCAACCCTAGTGAGCAGAGAAGCTTCAAAATACCTCAGCAGCCTTCTTAGTCTGTCTTTCAGATTACATCTTATAGTGTTTGATTATATGTCAATATTTGTATTGTGTAGCTTTATGGACACGCAAACTCTCTTACTTCCTTTCTCTTTTATTGGCACCAGTTTTTTTCTGTAACACCTTTTAGTAACCGTCCAGTATAATTGCGATTACCTGTAAAACTTTAATGCTTTGTTATATACTGCTGTCATAAGGACGTCAGAGGATTGTGTATCAAAGACAAACACACCTAACAGTTTGCTCATTTCCATCTGCTGCTCACAGCCACCTCGCACTGCTCACCCCGTGGTGCGTTTCTCTTGCGTGGACTGTGAACCCATGGTGATCGACAAGCTTCCCTTTGACAAGTATGAACTGGAGCCCTCTCCGCTCACCCAGTACATCCTGGAAAGGAAGTCCCCACACATGTGCTGGCAGGTAGAGTAAATGCTTCCACTAACGCTCTTCGCCTTGTTTACAAAGTCACACGTGTTGCCTCGGGGACTTTCTAGAAACCCAGACATAATGAGGTTACTTGCTTAATTCATCATAGCGTTTCACCTTTTTTGGGCTGTTATGAAGTAGTTGTTGGTCACGCCATTAAAGCTCTGTGAATACAGCTTGGCTTCATTTTTAGCAGCTCTGCTTTACCTTCATGTTTTCTCTTGCTGTCCTCAGGTGTTTGTCAGCAGCAGCGGGAAGCAGAATGACCTGGGGCATCCTTTTGGCTACCTTAAAGCCAGCACCACTCTCACTTGTGTTAATCTGTTTGTTATGCCGTACAACTACCCAGTCCTTCTCCCACTCCTCGGTGAGACATATTGTAGTAAATTTGTCTTTAGGGTGGCCTAAAAAACCCCCAAAACTATAACTTCTGGGTCAGTAGGCCTGAGCTGACATCATATTTAAAAGCTCTCCTTTTCTGGGACACCTCATCATCTCCAGTCATGACAAGTATCAGTCTAACAACACAGAACATCATTAAAAGGTTTATCTTTAACAATTCTGTACAAGACATGAATATTGTCTGGGTCTTTATGTGTGTTTCAAAGCTTGTTGTAGACTTACCATCATCATCCTCAGTACTGATGCATGTGGATCAGTGGGTCTGCTGCAGCTGGACACTGATGCAGATGCTATAATCTCTCAGACTAACCCACTGCTCATTTTCTCCTTCTCCCTGCAGACGATTTTTTCAAAGTGCACAAACTAAAACCAAACCTTAAGTGGCGACAGGCCTTTGAGATGTACCTGAAGACGATGCCGCCATACTACCTCTTGGTAAATGAATGCAACATCTTTAATGCTGCCTTTAGCTTAAATTGATTTATGGTGTTTTTCTTGTAACTAACATCTTAAATTCTGACAGCCCTTGAAAAAGGCACTGAGGATGATGGGTGCACCTAACCTTATCGCGGACACCATGGACTGTGGACTGAGTTACAGCGTCATTTCTTACCTGAAGAAGCTCAGCCAGCAGGTAAGTCACTTCCAGGCAGTAAAAGAGGTTTTGTGGTGCTTATTGATCGTGATGAAATGTAGAGATCAGACTAAACGACACAAGCGCTGAGGAGACTGAACTGAAACTATAAACTTGTCAAAGACAACGAGCACTGATGCTGTGTGAGGCCTCCGGTTCCATCAAAGGCTTCTTATCTTATTTCTTCTGTTAGTTTAAAGAGTATGTTAAGCATCAAGCAGCGGCGTCTAAGTGGAAGTATTATTCAAGTCATAGTTTGGAAACTCATGCACGCTGACTGGATATTTTCAGGAGTGACAGTCTCACCATCTGCTGCAGATACAGGTGCTGACTATACAGCTATGAGTCCCGTGCTGCCATAATTTAACTATCAAGTGTGGAGCTAAAAGAGTTTCTACATGAGGATATAAAGTCTTTATAAATACTTGTCTTATTTTTTAATATGATTATCTGTGGCTGAAATTATCTGCATGAAAGACTGCCAAGAAATGGAGTGGAGAGATGTCTTCCAAATTATATTTCACTCATTTCACTTTGCTTGTTATCCTCATACTGAGATGTTGTTTTGTTGGCTCGAAGGCAAAAATGGAGTCGGATCGTCTGATTGTGTCGGTGGGGAAAAAGGCTCCGCAGGAAACTGGCATAAAGGTGAAGAACCACTCCAGCTCGCTTTCTCTAGCCCACCGGCGAGACTTTAAGCAGCTGCTGCAGGGAATCACGGGGGAGGGGCCCCTTCGCCTGCCGGACATTAATTTCAAAGAGTTTGCCGGTTTCCAGATCGTCCTGCTCAACAAGGTAGGTTTAGGACAGTCGGACACTTTGTGCAGTGTGTGGCATACTTTCTGTCAGCGGAGAGGGAAAACACAGCGTGTACAGTATTTGGTAGGATTCTTTCTGACTAGATGTGTTTGCAGGATGTAAAGCCTCAAGCTTATCGGAATGCCTACGACATCCCAAGACGGAACCTCCTGGATCAGCTCACACGAATGCGCTCCAATTTGCTGCGGACGTCACTAAAACTGATCCGAGGGCAAGATGAAGGTAAGTCAATACGCAGTGTGTTGCTAGTGGGAGGCAACAACTTAATGAGCTTGCATCATGCGTTTCTTCAGCTGGAATCCGGTGTAGTTACTACAACATTTCATGAAATCATCGTTTTGTGGTTGTTAGATTCCCTGCACAGTATTCCAGTGGCTCAGATGGGAAACTATCAGGAGTACCTAAAAATGATGCCGTCCCCTTTGAGAGAGATTGATCCCGATCAGCCTAAACGGCTGCACACATTTGGGAATCCTTTCAAGCAGGATAAGAAGGTAATGCAGTTTAGCTGCACACAGATGTCTTCACTCCGTATCGCGCCCTTACATTGTGTAACGGTTTCCTCTCTCTGTCTGTTATTCCCAGGGGATGATGATCGATGAGGCGGATGAGTTTGTAGCAGGCCCTCAAAATAAGAAGAGAGGAAATTCCAGTGACTCCAATTCGGGAGCTACTGTGAAGAGAAGGCGGAACATGTCACCGTTGCTGCGGCGGCCGCAGACCCCATCAGGGAACACCAACCATGTGGTGATTGGGAAGAACCTAGCAGGGATTCAGGGGCAGCAGAACCTCCTCAAACCGGGTCCACAGAACAAAGGTAAGATGCGAAGGTAATGACAAAGTATGCTCGAAGGTGGTGAATATGAGGCTCACGCTGTTCATTGTTGCATCATCAGGAGTGGATAGCATGGTGGTCACAGAGAGTAATGGCGACAGCGCTCTCGGGCTCGACTCTGGGGAAATCTGGCCTGCAGAGATGGAAACTGAGGCAGGGAATACATCCTCACCGAGTTTAGAGGAGAACGTTGGGACAGGAGCAGCAGTTCGCGGGGAGGACCTTGGCACGATGGAGGAGAGGCTGGTGGAAGATCATCTAAACGAGCAGCCGCTGGAGGAGAAGCACAACTGTGAACGCCTGAGTCCACAGAGCCAGCTGGATGGCGCTGACGCTGAGCCGGCAGTGCCTGAGATCATTTTCATAGCTCCACTAGACGGCAACCTGGCAGAGCTGCGGACGCGGGTCATCAAGGAGGTCCGCAAACCCGGACGAAGTGAGTGCATTTTTGTTTTTCAACAATATCATAATTAAAGATCTTTACACAAAGAGTGCTTTGCAAAAAAAACCAACACAAAATTCAGAATTTTTCAGCTCTGGCATTGCCGTGTAACGTAAGCGTTACGATTTTATGAAAAGTTTCCATCAAACCACGATGAGCTGGTCCTGATGTTTCACAACAAGAAAAGGAAGAAACAGATTCTCAGTTCATCCAATTCCTCAGGGTTCGATCCAGGAGATGAAACTGCATCACGGCCGCTTACGTACATATTTCAGGGCGTCAGTGGGCAGTTTGATCTCTTGTTAGCAGAGCTGGGAGCTGTGAAATCATTTCAGAGAGCTAACTGTCCTGAATCAGCATCTAGCTGTGTGTCTGATTTATAATAATATTATTTTAGTAGTTGTATATGTGTGTTACGAGGTCACTTGTTACCAAAGGCAGTGGCCTGATTAGTCACATCTGTTCTCATCATCTATTTGCAAAAAAATGGAAAATTCAAGCTTGATTGGAAAAAATGCCAAAAATTATCAAGCAAAATTATGTGGTCTGTGTGAACGGCTACATTAAGAATTGGTGAGTCTCTAAAACATATTTTTCCAGGCCTTCATATTAATAATAGCCAAAAAAGACTGTCAATATGAAAAGAAGCAGAAGCAAAACACAGAACTAAGACTGATGCGTGACAGTCTGTATAGTTTATTAGGAAAAAGTGCAAGTTTTAAAAAGAAATATTTAATTTCAAATAAAAATGATCAATTTCAAGTGCATGAAACACAGACTTATTCAGACGACGTTGGAGAAAGTTCAAAAGAGTTCCTCAAACCTTTTCAGATTTTTTTGTTTGCTTAAAATATTTGTGTTAGTGTTTGTAGTGGACGGTCAGACATTCTGGACAATATTGTGATTTAAATTATCACAGTTGATTTTTATTGATTTTTTGGGTCTTTTTCAGCTTTTGTTGACAGATACAGTGAAGAAATGACAGGAAGGGACAGCAAAGACAGAGAGGCAGGGGAAGACACGTGGCAAATCACTGAGCTAAACCGGCGCCCGATCACAGAGGATTTATTGAACTTGAAATCATTGTCCTTTCAACAGCGAATTTCTTTGCATTATACTTCACTTTATCAGGAAGTTGGTACACTGAAAGGCGAGCGCATCGTAGCCAAACACAGCAGCATTCGTCCCATAATGTTTAAATCTTGCCACAGTGAGACTTCTTTAGCTGTTTACATTTAATACTTATTAATCTAAGGTAATCTACGGTTCGTATTCATCATCTGATTATGAGTTCCAGCACAAGCTGATTTCTAGTCATCTGATGAGATTTCAGGGTCCTGATTTTCATCCCCATGCATTTAGTTTTTCATGTGAACTCCCAGATGAAGATGCTCTAAAAAGGTAATTAGACTGAGTGATGCACTTTCTAAAACAGTCTTTGGTCATTGTTGGTGGGGGAATTATGCTGCTGTGCCTTTAAAATGTTCTTTTAAGATAAAATGTTTCCCTTTAGTTCAAAGTTCGGATGAAACGGATGTTAAACCTCTTCAAACACATGAAAACTCTTTTCTCCTTGGGCGTCTGTTAGAGTTATTGTCAGATGTCGTCTTTATGGGGGTAAAGTTAAAGGTCGAAGCTTGATTGTCCTTAATGCTTGATCATATCACACTTTCACAAGTTTTAAAATTGGATTAGTTTTCTGATTTTTAGCTTTTTTTCATTACATCAGAGAACAGGTAGCTGTAGCCCATTTACAGTCTATGTGCACCCAGTGAGGAACACTGCAGTATTTTTAAAAAAAAATAAAACATAATGGATCTGTCAGCTGTGCGGCCAGTAATACAACATTAACAATATGTTTACACATTTTTAAAAACTTTTTTTCATATAAATCCCAAATTGTTTTTGATTTCTCAGCTAAATCAGTCAGAGGTGGCAGAGAAATGTCAAATACTGATTCATTTTATTTCTAATTTGGGGACGTACTGGGAACATTTGAACCGCTTCCTTACCTTGTGCCTTTTCTCAGACTATGATGCAATACTCAGACTACTGCAGCAGGTGAAAGGCCCGCCAAACGTACAGAGGTACTTCATCCAGCACGCCATCAAAGAAGCAATGAGGTAAGAAACTGAGCGGCTTTGAATCTTTTGAAATCCCCGGACAAGCCTGTTAAACAGCGCGTCGCTGCACTGACATACAGTGAGTTCAGTGTTTCTGAGGCACTGCGGCTTCAATGGCATTCATTTCATAGCCCTTTGAATCAAATTCATCTGCAGCACTCTGATAAAGTTTGAGGTTCCCACTGCAGTAAGCTGGAAAAGGAAATCAAATCGATAGTGTGAGCTCCCACCAGCATTACAACTGCACTTGTTCCAAACACCTTGCCGCAGTTCATCTGTGGATTCATCTGTTCTGTCTCTTCTTACACTGATTTCATGTGAGGTTGATGTCGCACAACTCCTTGTTCTTCCTGTTATTGAAAAGTCGTGGCTGTGATCCAAAGTAACATCTAAACATGTCCCGAACAGGTTCAAGAAGCGAGTACTGATCCAGCAGCTGGAGAACGCCCTCACGGAGCTGGAGGAGAAGCAAACAACACCACAGCTTCCCAATGACCATGGCAGGTAGTGACAAAGCCACTTTTGCTTAAATTTTCTTGCCGGCTGGACATCGCAACCCGAAGAGAGGCATCCCTCTAGACCAAGCCTCAGAAATTCCGATTTGGAAACCAGCTTGGGAGAGGAACAAATGCACTGATAGTCCCTGTGCTGTACGTCACATCCTGTTAGAGGCAGAGGGCTTATTCAGAGGAGGGGCCTTGGGGAGCAGCTCCACTGGGGATGAGTACAGACACTTTAAAAATAATCCTCTGACAGATGCCTTAAACACCCATATGGCTTTTGTCTGTATGGGGACGTTGCTCAGAAACCACACATACACTCCATTAGACAGATAACACAGTAAGCCAGCAAAGCAGTGGGTAGACTGGCTTATTGGGATAGTTATGCTAAAAAATAAAAAACAAAACAAAACAGGCCCTTCTTCAGCTGGTCTGAAAAGTGTTTTATGGGTAATAAAATGTGCATTCATGGAAATTCACGGATGGAAGGAGAAATACTGTCCAGAAGCAAGACAAACCCTCATATTTTTTTGTGTTAAATCGGCAACAGGATGCACTTTGTTGTCCATGTTACTGTTGATCAATATGATTATTACTGGTTGCACTGGCATCAGAGGTGGGCAATATGGGAATAGGACTATGAGTGCCATAGTAGCAGAAGTAACAGAAAACAGAGATTTGAGACATCCAAACCTTCAGCATCAGAATCTGTGAGATGTCGGCTTTCAGCCCGATAGCGTGTCCGTGTCCGTGCCATCGGCTGAACAATCCGCGCTTCGTGCAGAATCCGTTTACCTGCTCTCGTTTTCTGTTTTAGCTGTTTGGTGGTTGCTGAAATAATTTTGTGAGCTTTAACCGGAGATTCTGACATTGCTGGTAAAATACATTTGTATTTAAAAATCAATTCAGGATATAATGAATCGATAACGTGTTATTCAAGCTAAAATCGATTTGAATCAGAAAAGTGAGTTTTTTAAACCCACCCTTAGTAGCGATAAAGCGTTGCTTTTCTGGGAATGCATTAGAAATATGTATTTATGGCTAAATCAGTCAGCAGGCTGCACATTATGGAAAATACTGTGTTCAGTATTGGTGTGTAATAGATTTGAGTCAGTATAGCAAACTCATAGTGTGAATATGACCATATTGCCCAACCCCAAACAGCATTAAATAAGATTCACATATGCCTCACTCATGGCAGCTCCCAACATGTTCTGAACCCACAACCAGCTCCAACCTTTTAAAGCGTGACTTTGAAGGACAGCACCAAGTAGCCGAATCAGTGTTTTTTGTGATAGTTGCACAGAAGCAGCAGTGTTTACTGGTTAAGTGACCGAGGAGCATTCTTCCTCTCACCTGCCATCACAGCAATACAACATGGGTCACTCCTGCAACTCCACAGGCGCACACTCACGCCCGAGTCATCCTCACACCTCAAACGCTCCAGTGGTTCCCCAGCGTAACGCAGTTTTGCATCCAGCAGTCGCCTTTTTGTTGAAGTTGAACCTTTTGCATTTCTCCTCTGCTGCTTTTCAGATGAACCCGGTGTCAGCACTCCTCCTGAGTTCTCCTTGTTTTTACAACAGATGTACACTACTTTTTAATGTTCATAGGGAATAGAGATTATTTTTGTGAAATTGCTTATTTCAGAGTCTAAGAAATATTTTGAAAGACAAATGTTCAAAGCCATTTTTGTAAACTGTTAAAATACATATAAAAAGTGGAAAGTTTTATGAACCTACTTCTTTTTTCATCAAAACAAAAAAATAAAAAAAATGATAAAAAATTAAGCCACGGGTAGAACGGTGTTTTGTGCGTCAGACTGTGTAGTTCTAGCTTGAAGTTGGTGTTTTTTTTTAAATACTTAAACAGTTGATGAGCACACAGCTCGCTTACTTTCATCTTTTTTATTCAAGCAGTTTTGGTTTAACCCTCATAAAGTCTCTAGAGTCTGTGTTTCTTTTGTAAAGCCTCACTTTTAAACTGAGCAAATGCTGCAGACACAACACTTTCAGTGTGTGTCTGACAGAGTGATGGAGTTGTGGAGCAGAGCTCTGCGACACGCACGGCAGCTGGACCTATTTTCTTGGTGACCCTTTGTCATTGATTACAACAAATTGTAATTTTACAAAGGCCTGCAAACGCTGGAATTGCATTTACACTCAGCAGCCACTTTATTAGGCACGCCTGTTCAACTGCTTGTTATTGGAGGTGTCTTGCGAGCCAATCACACATCAGCAACTCCGCGAATTTAAGCGTGTAGACATGGTCGAAATGACCTCCTACTTTATGATGCAGCTCATAAACTTGATCCCTGTGTACTTAGTGCAGCTCTGCACATCACACTTGTTCTTGAAAATTGCACCAGTACATCTCCGAAATCTTTTAAAGTCTCAATTTTTAAATTACTTGATTCTTGTGTTTTTATATTAAAGACACATTAGTGAAACAAGCATTTAATATGTACTTTTTCTCCATTTCTGTTCTACATGGTTTGTTAGTTTGCTCCATTTTAACCCAGACTGGAACTTTAGCCTTGACTGCCACCTAGTGTCCATCATAAGCAGCTGCAGGTTTTTTGAATCAGGAGGGTTTTTTTGTGACGCAGCAGTCCTGCACCAAGGTCACAGGTACAGCACAGCTCTGCAGACTGTCACTATAGTAATTAAATTTTTTAAAGCCATGCGTACCAACTTCTTCCTGCATAAATAGATTACCTGGAAAATAAATAGTCCACTTAGTTTTGTCTCACAAAAGCAATATTCCAGCCCAAGTACAACAAAAAAGGAGATCTGGACACTTCGTAAAATCAGTATGCCTTTTATTAAATTAAAAACAATCTGTTGAATATTGACGAAATGTAAAATGAAGGGAAATAAAAATCCACTCTAATGTACCAGTACTGGCTAGTCTGCCTTATAGTGTTCACAGTCTCATTATAATAGCGCTCTAATATCGCCCATCCCAGTGTTCACCTCATTTCCTGTGACTTAAAAACCATTTTGTGTACAGATCATTTATGCTTCCTGGAAATAATAAAGCAAATATTAGAGTCCACTGATTAATCTCATTTTAGTTGACAAAGTTTTCAGTTGCTGACGTGTGTTTGAAACGAAACAGCAACCAAAGCAGGCTTTGTTATTCCCTTCATACAAAAGATATACAAAGGAGAGTAATATCCCAGTTCAGTTCAGAAGGGATCAAAGGGGTACATGTCTCAGTATTTTAAGACTCCAAAGCGTTTACATACTGTATATACAAACAAGTCTGCTTGGAAATAATAAAAACAAAAACTGAGGGGTTGGCACAGTCAGTGTTGAATATGGTGGCAACCACGTTATGGACAGAGATGCATGTTCAGACAGCATTATTAGTTTATTTACAAAAAAATAAAGAAAAGTTAAATAGGAGAAAGATGAATTCTGACACGTTCTCCCTCCTTCTGCCTAACAAAAACAAATCTTATCTGACAATGACCGTGTTACAGACAGGAAAAGGCCAGTCTCAGTGCAAATGCTCCAGCTTGCGTAACCGTATGGGGTTGGGCAGAGCTTGTTGGTTGCGTACAGAAGAGGGCTCCTCCTCTGGTGTGCGGAATAGCACCCGACCCCTGTGATTGAAAAGGTAGAAGGATGGGTGGTTCCTCAGAGTGTCAAAAGTCCTGGGGAAAGAAAGAAAATAGAAAAACGTCTTAAACACTGGCACCAAGAGGCAGGAAGTTATGGAGATTGATTACATTTGTTAAATTATATAATCCACTCCTGTAGGAGAGAAGGGACAGAAAAGTGTGTTTACATCCCAATACAGAGTTAGAATAAAGAAACAAACCAATGTTAACACCCACTGGAATCATTAGTGTTGCAGTGTGGACAACCCAGTGTCCAGTCATCAGATGAGACATTTTTCAGGTAAAATTGAAAGTTTCAGGGGAGAATTGCATCAACTGTGTAACATTCAAGCTGTGATTTCTCATGTGGGATGCTTTGCTTGCCGATTTGCATCTACAGGGTTCACTTATTAAATCTAGAAGTGGTTACACTCCCGCTGTAAAAACTTTGCCTATATTTTGGGTTCAGCACTCAAACTAACCAGTTAGCAGATCACAACATGAACAAGTCACTTATGTTTGGCTTTCTTACCGCCTTACTTCTTTAAAACATCTCTTTAATTCTTATGTATGGCTACGTTCACACTGCAGGCGAAAGCGCATCAAATCCGATTTTTTTGACCCTATGCGACCCATATCCGATCATGGTATGACAGTGTGAACGGCGCAAATCCGATATTTTCAAATCCGATCTGGGTCACTTTCGTATGTGGTACTGAATCCGATACATATCCGATGTTTCAGAAAGCGACTGCTGTTTGAACGGTCAAGT